ATATGCATTCAGAAATGTAATTTGCAGCTTTTAATTCGTGTATAACCTTTAATTGATTTACATTGCAATAGAATATTAGGCTATATATCTTTTGTGATCTTGTATACTTTGTAATTTATCATTACCGGTACCGTGTTTCGCCGAGTTACTGATATAAGTGACAAGTCTACACTCCGATTTTTTCACGGAAATTCGCTACTCCATGAATAGGTTAGACTTATAGTACGTGCATTTTACGAAATACACTATACTATAATGTTCTCTTTTGTATTTATTTTTCAGATTTTCAAATTTGCATGCGATCATAATTATAGTAGCCTACATCCACATTCAGTTTATGTTTGTAACAACCTTGGCCAATGTACTCAGTTTTCGATTCCATTTTTAAGTTCCAGTAGATAGGCTATTCACTTTTCAATTCTTCAAAGACTCTGAATTTAGATTTTTTTTTATTCAAACTTGCTTTTAGTTATATTATGTTTTTATTTCACGCAGAATGTTTTTATTTTTCAGCTTTGTTCCCAGATTAGGCCTTGCACGCGAGAGTTTCTAACAAACTTGACTGGTATCGAGATCCTTACTCACGTCGACCATCAGGATATGGACAATTGGATCGTTGAACCACTATCCACTCGCCAACTCCAGGAAGCTCTGAAGAATCACCTACCAACATCTGTGTTTGGTGGGGTTTGGGCTAGAAACCATTTGGATTATATCTCACCAGAATGTTTCCCAACTGCAATTGTTGTTAACACAGATGATGCCCACCATCCCGGAAAACACTGGACGGTGTTTGTATGTGAAAGTCCTGGATGCATCACGTTTTTTGACTCTTTTGGCTGTTCTCCAGAAACGTATGGTGAAGCGTTCAAGAGGTTTGTCAACAATCAGCAAGTAATTTACCATTCGAAGTGGATTCAAGGTTTAAGCAGCGTCATGAGTGGTCATTATTGTCTATATTTCTTATGTCATCGGTTCCATACACCATCACCTCGTGCCCTGTGTGAGTTTGGACAGGTTTATATCTGTAATGACCAGCTCGTCCACCAATGGACCAAGGAACACTTCCCACGTATGAAGAACTATAACGACCCTGGTATGCAGACTTGTGGGTGTTTGATGTCCCTATGAAAATTGAACTCTCATTTATTGTTTGTTATTTTTAAATTTTGATTTTTGTAATAAAATAGTTTACCTTATGCAGTGTTTTTCAATTACTAACACTTTTACTAATTCTACAATTTTCTAGAACCTTTGACCTCATTCGTACATTGTACTCTCCGCATAATTTTCTTATGTAATAGTGTCTTACATTTGTTACTTTTTATTAACATAATAGAATGCTTAAACAAATCATACAACAACTTTATGCTGAAACTATGCAAATATTGTTTTCTCGTTTTGGTAATATTTTGAAGCCTATACTGTTAATTTATGTGTTCTTTTAAAGTCTGTGTTTGGAAACTTGAAAACAAGCTGTATATGAATGTATTGGTTTTCGGAATATAGAAATAAAATTAACATTCTTTTATATCAGTATTATTTCATAGATAACTATCCCGTTATTCAAAAATCGTGAAATTAGTGAAATCATGTGATAAATATTGTAATAAAAAAAAACATATTTAAATTTGATGTTGAAATTGTGTGTTGCCTTTTTATATATTATGCAAAGTAATGACCAATATTACGACCACAATGGCACAAAATATATATTGGTTTTCTGCTTATTATCACTTTAAGTTTGTTATCATTATATAGATTTTAAATGTTATAGATAATAGTTTTGTTTTATTATAATTTTTCAGTAGTTTTTTTCTTATTATGTCCATTTCGAAAATAGAGCTCAAATAAGTTTGTAATTGTTTGACTTGAGATAATTTTTCGTTAATTCTTCCTACGGCAGTCCCCTTTCTTGGTTTATTGAATAAAGAATAAATTGACGTTTGTTGTATGAACGTCATCCACCCCCATCATCTCTATTTAAAATGCATGTAGATTTATCTTAAATGATATATATTAAATGATAAATTTGTATACATAGCAATTCAATAACTTAAACAAATTAAAGGAAGGTTTATGGACAAAATTTGCTCGTATTTTGGCATTTATTTCACACTGTGCCTTCTTTATTGAGATTGACTTCTAGAATGTTCCTGAAACTTGCATGTTATTTTCAAAAACTCTTTTGAAAAATAAAGTTTTAAATGATTAATTGAAATGTACTAAAAGCATAGAAACTGTGATTTTCAAAATATTGTGTATATAGAATTATCATCAAATAATGTATATTATCAGCTCCTCCCTTTCAATCTAGTAATGAGGCTTTAGAGACCATGGTATAACTTTCAATCTAGAAATGAGGCTACAGAGACCTTGGTATACTAACTTTCAATCTAGTAAGAAGGATACAGAGACTTTGGTATAACTTTCAATCTAGAAATTCGACTAAATGGACATTTATGCAACTTTATTACCTGTAGTTTGGCTTCAGTACAGAGACAATGACACAACTGGTGAAATATGATGACAAACTGAAAGTTTAATATAATTCCAAATTGTAATAAAAAATGTTGCATGATTCGAAGGATTTGTCATATTTCTTTGCCTGATTGAAAAACATCAGTTATCATTGCATCTGGGGACATGAATTATGTATGACGACTTGGAAAAAAGTACAGATAGTGGGAAAAAATAATTTATAAGTTACAAGTTCTTTCAACAGTTTTATGATTTTTATCGGAAATTAATCGTCGCTCATTATTCAAATGTCATTTATGTTAAAATAGTTTATATTTTGTTTCTGATATTGCTATATTTTCTATATAATTCACCATATAACAGAAGTCATTTGTATGACCACTTCCGGGGCCCCATAAAGTTTAATGTAAATCATTTATTATATAAAACCTAGTTTATATGATGTTTAAAGTAAATCATTTATTATATAAAACCTAGTTTATATGAAGTTTAAAGTAAATTATTTATTATATAAAACCTAGTTTATATGAAGTTTAAAGTAAATTATTTATTATATAAAACCTAGTTTATATGATGTTTAAAGTAAATCATTTATTATATAAAACGTAGTTTATATGAAGTTTAAAGTAAATCATTTATTATATAAAACCTAGTTTATATGATGTTTAAAGTAAATCATTTATTATATAAAACCTAGTTTATATGATGTTTTATGTCAATCATTGTAATCTCACATTTTAATTTGAATCATTTGATTTAACAACTTCTAAAAAGAATGTAATTGTGATGTTTTTGTAATGTTATAAAGCTATTTTCATGGTTAGATGAAACATAACCATTGTAATAAAATGGAGAATTTAATTGTTTGTGATTCAGTCTGGTTTTGTTCCGTGGTGCTAGACTGAAGCATGGATCTGCTCACCTCAAACAAAAATATACAAAACTGTATAAACATTTGAAAATTTTATTGCCAGAGAGGAAAAAAAGAGTAAAATTAAGTCCACCAAAAACAGTTGAAAATTATTTATAGCTTATAACAATAAATTTGTATGCACACTCAATATATTATGAAAATATTGAATAACATTATAATAAAAATATATATCCTTTTCATAAAAATTTGAAACAAAAATATATAAATATATTATATACTTGAAATGATCAGTTGTGTCATAAGTTAGTAATAACATAAGTCTACAAAATTAAGTTTAACAAAAGCTTGTAGGTTTAAAAAATGCTCACTATACAAACAAATATACAGTATCAATTGATGGAGCTCAAATTTCACTATCAATTTTATTGGTCTTTTATTTATCAATTTTTGTAAACATTTTAAAATGTTTTGGTTTTTCAGTTGAATTTTATAGAGGGAGTAATACTTGATTTATTAACTTTCTGAAAAATAATTTTTTTTTTTGTCTAACAGATCATTATGGTGAAAATAATTTGAAATTCAAAACTTCAGTTTAAACTCCGCCAAATCGGCACAAACTTCCATTAAATTACACTACTATACTTTCAGTTAAATAATTTTTATTGCAAAATATGGCAAATAACTGTTTCACAAATAACCACAAAAAAATAACCGGAATCTTGTAAAGGGAGCTTTAACAAATGAGCACTAAGCATCAGAGGTTGGTTAAATAAATATATATCTATTTATATATAATATTTCCACAAAAAAAAAATCAATTTTTGGTCCCAACAGAAAACTATAACAAACAATTCAACAAAATCCCTAAAAAGAGCAAAACAAATCCAAAAAAACCATGTACAATAGAATAAGGTAAGATCATGTAAGTTCATTGAGCAGTGTGTCAATAATCTTTAAAGTATGACAAAAAGAATTTCATTTCATTCATTGAAATTATATACACTGTAGAAAATATTTCAAGTAAGATATTTGTAGAAAATAATGTAATTTCATGTAGGTTTATAGAATACATGATTTTTTTTTATGTTGACAAATACATGTATATTAAAAAAAAGTAGAATGCTTCAAAATAAAGGGTAAAACTAAAAAATACCGGTATGACAGAAATATGTTAGAAATGCTGAGGGCCTGATACTATATTTTATTATCAACATTACTGAACTGACTAACCTCAATGATATTCACAGAATGAACAGAAAACATGCATAATTCAACCAATCAACTCCTACTTTAAAGGAAATGGAAAATAGAAATCCATCCTAATGATCATAGGTTACATTTTTTCAACTTTTGATAGAAAGAGAACTAAGGGGAGGGTTGGATTCCCCAATATCAAAATGAAGTTGTGACTCTCTAAACAATGCAACATAGTTTGTGGAGCAGAGCTTATGAATCAAGTGTGAAAGGTAGAATTTAACACCTTTCTCCAAACAAACTCCAAACTGTATTCCAATTGTAATATGAGACTATCAAATAATCATACTATGCTAAAAAAAATCACCATATTTGACTGCTAAAAAAAGGAATTATACTTTCATTTCCTTTAAAGTGAGATGTTGTTTAAGAAATATGCCTTGTGAAGAATTTATTTTTCTGGATGGAAATCATCAGTACCATGTTGAGTTATAAAGTTTAGAAGATCAATTCTGGTGGCAATACCAAATATCATCTGTTTCTTAGATATCACACTGGGACCTGTATCTGAAACAGAAAAAGATCAAATTAATTCAAAATGTGATAGGGCTAAAATGCATTGAAAGACTTCCAGTTATGAAAAGTCTTTAACATGTATATGCTGCAAGGAAATGAAAATGTACATGATTTGTGCTTTTGTAATCATTGTGACTGATTTTTGAATGATTTTGACCAATTTTAAAGAAATATTTTGAAAAGTCACACATCAGATATCAGAATGTGTAAATATCATGCAGTCAAGTGCAATTGGGTGACAGAAAAATTTGTTAATTTTACAGTCCAGGCTGAATTTTGAATTTGACCTTGATATTTCAGACTCAACCAAGATTTTGTTCTGTTTTAATATTTTAATTACCTTTTATTTTTAATATAGCCACTTCAGTTAGGACTTATGACTGGCTTCTAAACATCAGTCAAAATTACCTTTTGACCTATTCCTGCTTTACCAATCAAATTCCTGCCATCTCAGGTTCTGGCATATTGTGAGAGATTTGATTGGTTAAAGCAGATGCATTCAGATTAAGTCAAAAGGTTATTCTGACAATGTTCACTTGGTCAGTCTTTAAACTCTAACTGAAGTGGCTATATTGAAAATAATAGCTAATAAAAAAAAACGTAACAAAACGTTTAATTTCAATTAGACTGCCTAGACTTTCATTTAAAAAATGTTGTTTAGCGAAAAGTTAATGAAGTTAAAGTGAAATTAAAATATAAAATATTATAAAATCGTTTAGTTTCAAATGATCCATTATATATAATGATAAAACACAGTTTCAGCTACTTTCAGTTTCAGTGCTCTATGTTTGGAGAGTAAATATGTTTGACTATGGTGCTGCCTTAACCAATATAATTATATTCTCATGCAACTATATACTACTTTACATAATGTGAAATAAAGAAGTGCACATTAATAATCTAAAAACATAAGACAATATATTCACAACACTACACATAAATTGAACTTTTGTTAATAAAACACAAAAGATCATTGAATGTTAAAAAATAAAAAAATTGAAAACTGTGTTTCCAACACTTTCACTGGTTTCAATATTACATTCATAATTCACATTTGTTTTGACTCTACATTGGAAATAAAGATTTTGTAAATATAAAAGGAAAGTAGCTTATAGTTCAACAAAAGCATTCAAAATTGCCTGACTGCCAAAAGGACCTGCCAATAAATTAGTCACCATGTCTCAGTTTTTTGCTTGAAAACTAATTGATTAGTGCATTTATAGCTAATTGTCCTATTGAGCAGCACCATACTTACATACATTATGACACAAATAAAAGACATAAAAAAGACTACACTGCAAACTAAAAGAAAGTAAATTCTGTTTCAACTCACTGTCTCTGGCATTTACTGTAAAAACAAAATTGGGTAAAGTTTAACTACATGAACCCAATAGAATAAGAAATGGTAATTCAGCTTGTAAATAAAGTAACAGTCCCAGATGGATTTTGTTCACAATTCAATTTGATTTTTTTTTTTTTTGCTACACAAAAGTTAGATAAAGATAGCTTGCCAGATAAGGTAACATACGCCTACTATCAGCTGTCAGAAATGATAACAAAGTCTGTAGTGGTTTAATATGTGAAACCAATCATCCGATTTTTAATAATTTCAAGCTTTACTGAGATCTCATACCAAGTTACATCAAGATCGTATCAAAAATCAGTCTCTATCAGGCCTAGATGCATTGAATTAATTCAAGGGCGATAACTCCAAAACTGTTCACCCCATTGTTACCAATTGACTGAGATCTTGTCCATATATACATGCATACCAAGTTTCATTGAGATCAGATCAAAACTGCACCCTGTTTCATGACTACAAGTCAAATTTGTAGGGTTTTTACTAAATCAAGGGCAATAACCCTGAAATCGTTCATCCAATTATTACTAACTTCAAACTTGACCGAGATCTCATCAATATCTACATGCATACTAAGTTTCATCAAGATCAGATAAAAATTGCAGCCTTTATAATGCATACAAGCCAAATTTAACGCGTTTTAAATAAGTCAAGGGCAATAACTCTGAAACCGTTCGTCCGATTATAACCAATTTTGAACGTGACTGAGATCTCATAAATATATACATGCATACTAAGTTTCATCAAGATCAGATAAAAACTGTAACTATATCGTGCATACAAGCCAAATTTAATGCGTTTTTACTAAGTCAAGGGCAATAACTCTGACACCGTTCATCCGATTATTACCAATTTCAAACTTGACCGAGATCTCATCAATATCTACATGCATACTAAGTTTCATCAAGATCAGATAAAAATTGCAGCCTTCGTCATGCATACAAGCCAAATTTAACCCGTTTTTACTAAGTGAAGCCGTTCATCCGATTAATACCAATTTCAAACTTGACCGAGATCTCATCAATATATACATGCATACTAAGTTTCATCAAGATAAAAACTGTAGCCTCTATCGTGCATACAAAAAATGTGAACATACCGACGGGCGGAAAGGGGCGACAGCAATCTACGTTCACATTTCCATGTGGGCATTTAAAAGGTGTTTATGAGGAAAAATAAGACCAAAATTGTCTCCCTAGCTCGCTGTGTTAATTTTTGATATTTTACTGCCTATCAGTATGACATAATACTACTGACTCCATGTTGCACTCAAATGATTTGGTGTAAAAAATCCATCTGGTACATTACTTTAATCCCTAATTTAAAGACCAAATGAAATATGATATGATAGACTTACATTGTCGTTGTTGATGAACTACTAAAACATAATGATCAGTATCTAATAATCTGGACAGCTGACTTAATGTAGTGTCAAGGGAAATCTAAAATAAAAATTAGGAATGATTAGAAACTACTCAACTTCAAATGCTGTTTTTGATCAAAAATGACAATAGTAGTAATCTACAGATTACAACACAAATCTGCATTTTAATTTAGATTGGTAAACCATCTTTACCTGTTTAAACTGTTTATACATAACTTTATTGACAGGATCACTTCTTTTAACTTTATGTTTTACAATCTGAGACATCAGATTACCAATAGTTACCATACCCAAAACATCACTGAAAATATTTAACACTGGACATTATCAATTATACTGCTTGTTTTAATAAGAAATTTGTCAACAAGACAGCTTATTACAGAACAGAGGTTAACTTTCTAATCACCATCTCATACGTAAGTAGACTCTCATTACAGAAATCAACAACTTGAAAATAAATGTACTAATAAAAATCATTGATTCAGATCAATCAAACAAGATCTAAGATTTTGGACATGTATAAAGTAAGGGTAGAGATAACTTGGCTTTGAAGAGATGGGGTAGAACAATAACAATACAAGGGAGAGTACTCACCCATTGTCATCCATAATAGGAACTTGATCAAAACCTTCTTTATTGAGAATATCTAGTGTCTCCTGTACAGTTACTGTTGGAGTAACAGTTAGTGGAGCTCGCAGACTTAAAGCACTAACTTTTAAATTCCACCACCTTATAAATAAAAATGAAGAGCATGAGAGATCAATGTACAGGTTATATGATACACAAGTCTGCACAGTAGACTGAGATCTGATTGTCGGACAGCATGACTGGTGTGGAAAGGTATGGTTTGTATTCATAATCTTGCAGATACCAACTGGTAGACAGAATCATCGAGAACCAATGATGTTATTCTTGTAAAATAAAATGGCGCTCTCTATTCAGACACTAATGATCAGACATTGAACTATATATAGACTATCATATAGATTCTCTCAGTTTCATATCTTATACAAAATTTTTAAAAAAATGCAAAATTTTTTGAATGAGTACAATTTTTTTTCAAATTTCCAACCTGATTTGTTTGTTTTTCTATAGGATATCATTGGTTTGTGTTGTATTACAATCATATACGGTATAATGGTGATTATAGTACCCACCCCTTCTCACCCTCCGATAAATGGCAATCAATGTTCATATCTTACCAGGCTTTTGATGGGTCCACATCTTTCTTCAGTTCTAAGAAATGTCTCTGACTTAACCAATCATCACTCAGATGTTTTGTCCTGTAAACAAAACATAAACAATGCTTCATTGATTAGATACAATATTCTACTACTAACCCCCACGGACCCACCTGTTCATTGACAAAACAACATGGAAATCAAAATTTCTGACCACTCCAGAATACACCTTATGAACTTACATATAATTTCTGATGGAATCTGGTAAAACAACAGCACATCTCTGTCCTTCTTTTAATCCAAAATCTTTAATGGCTTTGATAGCACAATAAACAGCTGAGCCACAACTTCCACCTAACAATACAATAGGCTGATAATCAGAATTGTGTTACATGTTTTCTAGACACAGTATTTGTCAAATGTTATTAGATTTGGAACTTGAATTTAATTTGTCATTTCCCTATATCAAAGTTATATTTTGCTACATTTGAAATTATCATAAAATCTCAAATTTTAAAATAAATTATCTTCCATTAAATTTACCAGCAATATACAGGTCACATCATGACAAAATTAAATTTGACAAACATAAAAGAAACATAACCAAAAGTGTAGCCTTTCTTTTTTTAATTTTCGCTTCAGAAAAGCTTTTCATTAAATCTATAAGCCACACTAGTATATAGATCACATTAAGATAAAATCAAATTTGACAAACATGGTAAAGTTAACAAAGGTCTAGGATATCAACTGAATGAGTAGTTATTTTACATGTTAAAGTGTATCAAATTTTCAGACCTTCAAATCACAAGACATTTATAAAATTTATTGTAGTCTTGGAATGCATAGGAAAAATTATTCAAGTGTTTGCTAAACATATTATATATATAAACACTTACCACAGAGTAAACCTTCTTCCTTTATCAATCTTCTGGCCATTATGAAAGAATCTTTATCAACTGATTTATACCATTTATCTACAGGCTATATGAAATACATTTCTATTTTAATAATATGAGACATAATACTAGATAGACAGTTGGTGGTTATAGTATAAAGCTTCTAATGTGGGCTAAGTATACAGTTTCATGCCAAAATTAAAATGGAGAATTTTTAATCCATCACTGGTGAGGAGGATATTCTCACCCTTTTGAAACACCAGATAAACTAAGCTCAGCAGCAGCAACTGGGCGACTAATACATACAAAACAACACCAACTTACAGATCTATCACAGACAGTAGGTATAAAATCATATCCAATACCCTCAACTTCATAGAATGATGTATCAGACTTGTTCAGTTCTTCTGGTTCAGCTATAATAGAACCAGCAGGATCTACACCTATTATCTATACAAAAATAAATATATTTCTTAAAGGGATTGTACAGAGGTTTTATAAGTTTTTTTTATGTGTAATGGGGACACTTATTGCATCAATTTTCACCATTCCAATTTTCAATCAGACATCTGTGGTTCCTGCAATTCCACTAAATCTTAGTGATCTATGACATAACTAATTGCGAAGGGATCTATGTGATAAAGCATATTTGGTGAAAGTAACGTCACCACTAAGTGAGTTTTTTTTTTTGTAGTACTATAGGGATCAATTCCTGTTACGATAATAGGCATCTTCTGTATCACACTGACCTTACAACTTGGACATTTCTCCTTAATCTTTCTAGCAATACCAGTTAATGTTCCACCAGTTCCAGCAGTAAGTACCATCATATCTAGTTTATCTAGGTAATAAAATGTATCATCATGTATTATTTGAATGCAAACAGTCTTTGACATTTCAGCTTGGATTGTTAGGGTAAAATGTGCGTGTACATTGATTCTATCAATTGGCCCCTTAAAGACCTTCTCACAATTAATTACTTCATCGACCATAGAATAAGGAGCATGTATTCTGGAAACGATCTTAGCGCTAAGATGTCCTAGAATCAATGTTAGAAGATAAGGACATCCTAGCGCTAAGAGTGGTGATCCTTATCTGTCTTTGTGTCATATATATTTTATTCAAATAGCTTTTAAAAAAACACATTGACTTACTATCACAAGCAGCCAATATTTCTTCAGCAGTACAATCATAATGAGCTAGTGGATTACTGGGGTTTCGGTACTGAAATCATACAACTGAAATTAGGAACGTTGATCTAAAATGGCACCTGATATAATAACCAGTTCATGAATTATAGAATGACACACCTTAAGCAGAAATAAAATTTGATTTAACAATCAGAAACCAGTTACCTGATCTAGTATATGAGAGTTGGGTATTTCTTCCATTAATCTTTTAGCTACACCAATATGAGATTCTGGTGAATCAAATGCAGCACTTGTTGGTGTTCGGACAATTTCAGCCCCTAAAGCTCTCAATATGTCCACCTGAAATTTAATTGGAATTTCAACCAGATATCTTATATCGCTCAAACAAAGGTAAAATATCTTCTTATAGTTTCCCGTTGATGCAGTTGAGCATGACAACACAGACAAGAATATTACTTTGATACTTAAAATGGACTGTGATCCAAGTAAACAAAAATTTTAATTTTCAGGAGTAAAGACAGCAGGTTGTCAGAAGATAAAAATTCTAGATCATAGGATAACATATCTTTAATAAACCCTGAAAAACCAGTTTAACCAATTGACCAGAAAAATAAAATATGTTACCTTTTCCATACTCATTTTCTCAGGCATAACAATAATACATCTATAACCTTTAACAGCTGCTGCTAGAGCCAAGCCAATACCTAAACAAATATATATATGGTTACATACACCGATTACTGACTTGTCCATATCTTTTATATATACCTGATCAAAACCATCTCAAGAATCATAATTGTCATTGACTATATTAGAAATGATCATATATGTATTCAATGAATTCAAAACATAATTTCTAGTCTTTGTACGGGGACACTCTAAAGTTCTATGTAAATCACTCTGATTTGTTGTTAATTGTCTGTGGTTTGGTCAAAACAATTTTTACAGCAACTGTTTTGTTCAGTCCCTTACATTTATCATACTTATCACACTGTTACATTTTGGATGAAATAATAGACTATGAACGTACCAGTGTTACCAGAAGTTGGTTCAATTAGAACATCACCAGGTTTTAAAACACCTTGTGCTTCAGCATCTTCAATCATTCTTAATCCAATTCTATCTTTTACACTTCCCCCAGAGTTAAAAAACTCACATTTAGCCACTGAAAATATACCATGCTCTAGTTTATAACATTTTAATTTCCAAATATATTATTAGGACAAACAGGACATAAACAAAATCAGTCTATATGGTTCGGATTACAATTTGTAGCATTTGAAGCAATAAATGCTAGACCCACATTGAGTTCAAACCATATATGTGTTTAAAACCATACCTTATTCTGTATACAATAAAAATATCATTGTGTGACTAAATAGTGTCACATTTATTTTTCAAGTCAAAAATTTAATTTAGTTTATCAGAGTAAGAGTCATTAGACTCTACAATATGGCCATTTTATATCTGAAATATTTGAATTGATATAAAAGGCATGTCAAGCAGACTTACAAAGTTCACATTTGACACCTTCTTTCTCTGTAATTCTATTAATTCTAACTAATGGTGTATTTCCTATATTGTATAAAATATTAGGCATGATGGCTGGTTTTTGTTTTCTGAAATAAATAGTAATAAAATTTAATGGTACAATTCAAAATTTCATCATGAAGAAACATGGTTGAAAATAAAAAGTTCAATAAAACATGTCATCATGATGATATATCATTTTACCCTCAACTTAAAAATCCAAGTCCACAAAAAAAAATGATGTTGACATTTATTGCATTTTTCAGTTACAAAAATATTCCAAAATTTTAAGTATCCTATATGTGTCCTTAACATCAATCAAAATTGTTTCTCAAGGTGATTACATAAACAAAATACAACCTAGATGAATATCATTTACAGTGATAGGGATTTACATGAGTATAAGAAGGGGTGCGCATTATATTCGCAATTATTCAGTATACATTACCAACATCTAATTTTAACAATCAAAAACATACTAGGATCTATCCAGATTAAATGGATAACTTACTGTTTAATATGTCTATGTGGTGATTGGTCAATACTTTTATCAGGTGTATAAGTACATTTACTGGGTAAATCTGGTCGTTTCCATATTCTGTATGGACTCTCTCCGTTAAGTTCTTTCTCACTCATCTTGAATCTTTCTTGTTAATATTGGAATGGAAAAAATCTTTATCCAGTTATTTCAAACTAAAATCCTAGAAATAAAAGAAATTGTACTTAAATTGTGTCTAATTACACCATGTAAGGCACAAGATTATAAAAACAGTAGAAATATTTGAAGAACTAAACCTAATAGACAAGGTAAAAAATACCAAACATGTTACCTGCAAGTAATGTAATCTAATCCTCGTGTCACAAGAGGGCACAAATAGGGGCAGACGGACTCATGGGGGGGAACGACTTGAATTTGAAATGTGACAGCCCTGTGGAAGCGCCATAGGTACAAGCCTTCTATGGAACGTTTATTAGGGTTCTCCCCAAGAAAATCTGTGAAAAATACAATGGGTTTAGTGCATTCCAACACATATTTTGAGGCAAACATATTTCTAAATTTGTTTTTAAATTTGGTTAAAAATCATTAAGAAATTGTTAAAAAGAAGGTTTTAAAGGTTGCAAGCTGTTCATTTTTAATGCACTCTTTAATGAAAATTGAACAAGGAGCAAAAATAATACTATCAAACCAAGCACTACTTCACTAATATTGACAAGAATTTTTAAACACCTCCACAATCAAGTATTACTTTAAGATTATCAATCTGAAATGATATAGACTAGAGATGTACTGATATCACCCTGATAAAATATTAAGGGTATTTACAATAAGTAGGGTAACAATCTGACCTTGTCATCATAACCCAATTCTTCAGAATCTGTTCTACTTTATGCCCATGTCAATGACTCTTTTTTATTTCAAAGGATCTCATTTTTTATGGGTCGCCTTCTCAGAAAATGAAAGGGCCTTCCGCATTTTTAGTGTGTCGATATTTTTGGGTCAAATTTGTGAAAACTATACTCCAAAATCTAGAGAAATGTGTCCCTTAACGTATCTTAAGGTTTTAATCAAAAAAATCCCGCCAAAACTATTCAATAACATTACGTAAACTATCATTATGCATTTTGGAAGCTGTATGAAAACTTCTGTACAGATTTAAGAAAAATAAACGCCTAATTGTAGAGGAATATCTCTCCTACATATTTTAAAGATTTCAACAAATAATATCAAGCCATTATAAAGCTAAACACACAAACTAAGTAAAACTGCTTAATCAATAATTAGTAGTCTCTATTTTTAATGAACCCTTTTAAAACAGACTGAATTTGATACATAGATGTAAATAGCATTTTGTAGAAATATTTTCAGGTATAATTTACGATGTTTTTAATAATGCAAATGTTTTACCAAAAAGTTTATTAAGTTTATTACATTAAATAAGAAATCTCATGGAAGACTTCACAATATTAATGGCCATCATTCAAAAGATGGGATTATCATTCATAATTCAAAAATTTATGAAAATGGGTTCCAGGTTCACCCCTGTTTTTAAGGACAAGTGGATATTTTATATAGTCTAAGACTCTTCCAGCTGTTGAAGTCATTATCTTTCTACACCATTTATGTCATGTCTCTGGTTCCATGAAAGTTTTTTTTGGCGAAATTGATCTAGCATTAGCCATTTAAAACTGTGGCCGCAAACAAAAGTTCAAAGGTCACATGATACTACCAAAACGAGAGTTATGGTGATAACCACACTAATTTACAATGATCTTCAAGGTAATTCAATATTATGTTAGAGAAAACGCATTTTTGGAGGTGTGAAAAATCCCCATTTAACAGGGTCTTTTTCTTCTGACTCTACTCCAGCTGACAACTGTCAAAATATCCATCAGAGGCTGATGTATAGGCAGATGTCAGGTCATTTCAGTCAAGCATGGCATAAAATTAGAATTTTGCATGCTCTATCTCACTCTATCAAATAGATAAAAACTTTCTTTTATCATACTAAAAGTACCGATGCGGTCATTGGCAGTTGATTTTTCACATAAGTAATCATATATACCTGGTACTCTAAAAGTACAGTGTGTAGTGTACTATTAAATCAGGTTATCAACTCATTTATTTCTGATGTGGATTATCTAAATTTTTGCCAACAAATATTACTTGTCATTTTGCATTTTTTTTATTCGCTTAAACATACAGTACTGTCTTCACATACCAATATTCAATTAATTACATTTTACCAATCATTTCGCTGTGAATTAGAACATAGCTTCAATAGAACTGACTAAGAATGACTTTACATTTAAAATATATAAACATGAGCACATATTATCAATACTGATTTTATTGTGAGGACTTTTTTCATTTCTGGGAGGTAAGTGTGTTAATATTGATAACACAAAGTCATTCTAAGGCTATAAGAAAATTCTTACAAACTATTATTTTGAAGCTTAGGCCTATATTCAAATTCACAAGAAAAAAATCCTCAAATTTCTATTTACCAATACGCAGTAATGCAGTATCACAGTACTACAGTAGGCCTTGTGTGTACATTACATGTTATATAAATAAAGCTCAGAATTATTGCATGACATGAAAAATCCTGTTTAAATTTGTATTGAATACAAATAAATATACAGGAAATTTAACACATTCATAACTTCTTTTAAAAACAGATACAGGTGTTACAAGGTCTCCTTTCTTAAAGACACATATTTATATTATGATGATGAAATATGTTCTCTTTGAAATTTATATTTTGACTTCCAGGAACACAAAATGGGTTAATAAACTTGATCTGATTCCAGCACATCACATACAAAATATCATCAAAAATATTAAAAAAAGAAACTTAATCATATCATAAAATCTTCACTAATTACAATTTATTTACCTGACAGTCAGTCTTGTTCTCTTTGCAGGATGTGCCACATGAAATAGGTAGAACAACCTATCCACTTCTCTTTTCATTCATTGGTTAGAAAGAATTTTATAATAGACTATTCCAAAATATGGCTTTATTATGAATTTCTCATGATTTAAAAGCAGGTTTAGCAATAATTACAATGATTTTACATCATTAGGCTTGGGGTGGGAAATTTGTCAAAAACTTAACCAAACCTATCTCAAAAGATCTCAATAGTCGGTAGCTGTACACCCCTTTAGACGTTTTAATGAACTCATCCACATAAGTCGGTCAAAAAATATACTCTCTAATCTGATATTGGTTTAATTTTTCAAATTGTTCGTTCGATGTTTAATTTATGAACAATAATTTTAATTTATTGAATCATCGTTTCAGTTGATTGGAAACAATGATTTAGTACACGGTGATAAAAATTCTATTTTTGGTGAAAGTACGTCATTCCTATCCTTTCAAAATTCAACATGGCGTCGTCCGATACAGGAGATGATTCTCTCTATCCTATCGCAGTTTTAATTGATGAGCTCAGAAATGAAGATGTACAGGTAATTGAAGGTTACAATTGGGGAAATAAGCATTCAATGTATATGTCGCACATTGGGTTGGGGGTAATGTTCGTGAATAATTGGAAAAAACTGTAACAAAATTCTTGCCGGGAGATTTTTTTTTGTGTTTTGACAACCCATTGAATAGAATTTAGTACTCTCGCTCGAAGCCCAGCAAAAACGACGTCTACTATTTGCTTTAGTCTAATTTGGTTCTTGGCAGGACCAGAGTAAAATTCAAGGATATTGATTTGAATATTAATGATTTATTTGAAATAAATGTATTCATGATCAAGTTATTTTATAATCATGATCATACCAGACATACCATGATGATTTTATAGCAAATATATAGCAAATGTGGATGAGGTAGTATCAGATACTAATTTAGCAAAAACAAAGCTTAATCTCGTTGAGCAAGATATCATTCTTGGACTTGGACGGCAAGCCTAAGTAGTCTATATGATGACAGACTTTGATCAATGTTTTATCAAAAAAAAAAAGTGTAAAACATCATCAATGACTAGTGAGAAAAATTCCATAGATTCTGTGTAGCACTGAAAATTTTTAATTGGTATTGCTACAAGGTCTCTGATTTATTTCAGTCCAAGAATCTGACCTTATCTGACAGATGATTTTCCCGCCATTGGCACCTGATGGTTTTCTCGAGGAATAAAATCTTTTTTCTGTGGGTTACACAGTGAGGACATATTTTTGTCCAAGGTCATGAAATTACATTTGATTCTGACTTCTGCTTTTGTATTTCAGTTGAGATTAAATAGTATTAAAAAATTATCAACAATAGCTTTAGCTCTTGGTGATGAAAGAACTCGAAGTGAACTCATCCCATTTTTGACAGGTCAGTAAAATTTTAGAAAGTTTTATACATGGTAATGTTGATTCCCTGGCCAAGAGTCAACATAAATAATAACAGGTTTCTTGTTATTTCCAGTCAGTCCTATGATCGTAAGTCTTTTTTGCAGGTGCTAAAATATCAATCGGCATAATCTGAATACAGCAGCACTAAGAAATTCTATTTAATTTGATTTCTCTGGGTGAAGATTGTCATAAAATTAATGACATTATCAGCCGTATCGGTAATTAATAACTGGTAAGTGGCTTATATTTTTTGAAGTTTAAAGATTAATTTTTATTTTTTTGTAGATACTATCTATGATGAAGATGAAGTTTTATTAGCATTAGCTGAACAACTTGGTAACTTTACTCCATTAGTTGGTGGACCAGAACATGTTATTTGTCTATTGGTAGGTGTTAATTGTTATGATATACAGTAAACTGTGGTGTTTATATCAGGTCTCTACTGGTAACAGTGTATATGTCAAGTATAGATTTGATATAATCAGCAGTGAAATATTGGCATTACAGGAAGCAAACCAGATTTTCATGTGTCAAATAAGCATTTGATTATATTTGATATGAAGTGCAGCAAGTTTTCTTGGAGAAAGAGAGTGATTTTAAGTTTTTGGGCAATAATCATAAACTGATTCAAATGCCTACTTTTACTATTCACCATGTCAAATAAACATAATAGTTGGTAAAAGCTAAAGCATTGGATTGGTTGAATTGCAAAAAAGGTTTTGAGAAGTATTGTCTTAAAAGCTGCAAATTGAAACTCTTAGCAAAAAAAAAAAGAAGTAAACATTTGACTTCCTCACTTCCCCGATTGCATCTACAGTGGCAATGAAATATCAAGAGCTGTATTTGAAGTAGAATTTAATTTATAATATAGAGCAAATTACAAATTAAGCTTGTTAATTGTCACAACAGAATTACAGAATGACATCACTTAAAGGTGAAAGGGCATTGCTCTAATCATTGAATTTCATGAAATTTAGAATATATTATTCTGAATTTAGAGTCATTAGTTTTAACAATAATATGTTAGTAGGTTAAGTTTACAAGTGAAGATTCCAAGACTATATCAACAGTTAAAACATAGTATTTTAGATTATATCTATTTACATGATGAGCCTGTACATAAACCTCATTCAAGCCTATTACAAATAGTTTGAAAAAACTTCTATACTTGCCTAGTTCTACATTCTACTGAAATAAACTTTAATAACTGAATAGTTCTACATTCTACTGAAATAAACTTTTATAACTGAATAGTTTTTCTGAAATTACTAATATGGATCATTAGAACATTATATTACATTATAAAAATGTGGTAATTATAAAAGCCAATTACCAGATAGATCTTAATAACCAAAAGCTTTTCTTCAATAATCTATTTGAAAGAAATGTTTTTAAGTGCCTCGTTATATTAAAAATATTATAAATAGATTGAAATTAATCAGTATTAACTGCATAGTACTGTAGAAATAAACTTACATAACTGCGTAGTTTTAACTAATAACCTAATAATATCAACATAGTTAATTATTTACCTGTTCAATATGATTTATATGAAATATGACAGAATAAATTCCTGATAACTAAAGTTTTGATTAATACTATACAGCAGACAAGGTAGACTACATGCTTCATTAGACATCTCTTTCAGCCTAATAAGCTTAATATCTTTTTTAACATGCAATGTTAGACTTATGAAATCTAGCACGTGAGTGAGAGGTGTGGCAAGTCTTAGTCTCGAGCTCATTAACAAGTGACCTTGCCAGAATCTTCCCTCTCTCAGTTAGCTATTTAAACAAAACGTAAACAAAGTACACGTGTCATCAGACTATATGGTTATTTGTTATTGCCACGTGAGATAGGGTATTATAAAGGATTATTTCTTCAGAAATAGAATTTCTCTAAGTATAATTAATGCTTAATGACGTCATTAATTATTCTAGATGTTGCTGCCAGCGCCGCGCCCAATACTACATTATATAAATACGTAGTGATTTTATATTGAAATCAAATTCTCCTTTTTACGTGAGAGAACTAGTTTTATTTTAACTCTGTGATCATTTAGATACAGTAATTTACTTACTGATATTGTTTGTGGACTCTCAGAATGTGGTACTATTCAGGATCTGGGATGATTCCGAACCAAAATGTTCAATCATATCCATTGCAGCCGATGTACATACCATTAAATACTTATCAAAATCAGGCATTTCATTATCCAGCAGCGTATCGATGTGTGACTCCATATCCCAGTTTTCAACAAAATATATCTCAACAATCTGATCCAGCTTGTAATTTTGATGATGAAATCAACAAACTTGGAGAAATTTTTAAACAGAATAACTGGAAGAATAGTAAATCAAATGCAGAAAGGATTAATTCAAAAAATCAAAATTTTAAAGAAATTAATCTTGATTCTGTTGAAAAAAAACAAAAACAGTTAAAAAATTTAAAACGACAAGATGCAGTGGACAAAGAAAATTCCAATATGGTTGGATTTTCTCAAAAGGACAAACAACAAATATTTTTAGAGCGCAGTTTTTCTCCTCCTAATTTATGTTTTTTGGAACAAGAGGACCCCGATTTGAAGGAAATGGACATGTTTTTGGGAAATTTAGTTTTGGATTTGTCAAACAGCTCATCACCATCAAATTCTAGAAAATCTATAAAAAATAAAAAGAAACAGCCTGAGCAAAAGACAGATCTTAAATTTATCGAGAAGGCTTTGAGTGATATTTTGAATTCAGGCACTGTGAATGCACCTAAATCTTCACAAGTTCAGAAAGACTTCTTGAAATACAAGTCTGACTTATTGAAGTCAATAGCTAGAAGTAAAAAAGTAGGTTTAACATAGCTTCATGTCCTTTGTGTTATATTCTCAATATAGACAGCTTTCTAATAAAAATACAGCTCTTTATAGTTTTGCGTGATCACTCATCTCTGAAAGTAATCTTTGTAACAGCTACTTCTTTGATGTGATTGCTTTCAAACAAACTGAATCATATTCCGTGTTATTTTTGATGATTGTAAATGGTTGATATGTTTGTATTTTACAGCCACCATTAGAGTCATTAGCTACTGTTGAAGAAACTGTAGTGAGAGATAAAGCTGTAGATTCATTAAGATTGATAGCAGCTCAGCATTCACAAGCTGATCTTGAAAATCATTTTGTTCCTTTAGTCAAGAGGTTGTCTTTGGGTAAGTGAAAAGATTCAGAATGATTTTGATCTTGATATGAATCTACCAGAATTAAGTATTTAAGAATTTTATAGAAAAAATACTGTATAAAGAGGATCAAACTTTAAACTGTTGTCTTTACTGCTTGATAATACTCATTGACTGGTTTTGCTTATGACATTAATTGACCATAGTTTGGTATTGTACTGATATATTGTTGGGGTAGCAGGCTTTCAGATCATAAAAGAAATTAATCATTGGTGCCTTGAACAAATCAACAGCTTCATTGTAAATTTATGCTGGTGTCTCTTGTGACGTATCTGTTTTATTAACCTGTACCTATATGGATGACATTCAATTTCTTTTGATTAAAATTCTATGAACTGAACATGTGAATGAATGTGAAATAAAATGATGTTTTTGTCTATAGGTGATTGGTTTACATCCAGAACCTCAGCTTGTGGTTTGTTTGCTGTATGTTATTCTAGAGTATCAAATAATGTTAAAGCTGAACTACGCCAGTAAGTTACTTGATCTCATTCTGAGAAATTCTTAAATTGTGCTTATGTAACAAGAGGTGTGTTCCTGTCAAAAATGAAGAGTTGATATCACACCTACACACGTGCCAGTGTTTCTTCTGAAACGACCTGATACAAGTGTGAAATTTGAATTTTATTATTACAGTGGTGTATCCATTTGGCTTAGATCAGATCACATCTTTCATATTTGAGAATATTAGATATTTTATGTTGAATATTAAGCTACATGCAATTTAAGCGTATACAATAAAGTTTTTTGTAACAGATCATATCAGTGTATCTATATTGAATTACAGACATTTCCGTAATCTATGTGGAGATGATACACCTATGGTACGCCGGGCAGCTGCTGGAAAGCTGGGAGAGTTTGCTAAAGTGGTGGAGGTTGATTTCCTCAAGTCTGACTTGATACCATTATTTAATGCTTTAGCTCTTGATGAACAGGTGAGTGTCAACACAAAACTTTATTTTGAATAATTGGTTATAGTAAAGATGTGAAATAAGGGCATCATTTTATCAGTAACTGCTAAGTAAAAGAGTATCTTTATAGTAGAATATTTGTGCATAGATTTTAATTCAAAAGATAAACCAAGCAGTCTATTTTATTTTTAAGTAGTTGGGGTAATAATGAAATCTATATAAGTCTATATATATATCTTATTAGCCCTTCACACCAATGATGTCGTTACTACACATTTATTCCTTACTCATTTGAATATATACATTGATGTATAGAATGTGAACAACAAATTAACTGAGGTGTGCTGTAAATATCTAATCCTGTATTTTATGACAGAAAATCTCAGCCTTTTTCCTTTGGTACTTTATGTAAGAAATATTGAAAAATTTCTCCAGAAACCACTGGAGTGTGGTTATAGATATTCAAGAATATTTAGCTCTTTTATTGATTATCGTATTGAAATATGATCTATGGACTGACCATAAACAGAAGATTAGCTGGGTGTGGTTGTTATTTATTAAGTATTTGTACTAATAACACAAAATCGGTCATTTATAAGTACTTTCGGTCATTCACCCAGCCTTGTATCGTTATTCAAAATGCCTGAGAATTTTTTAGATTGAAAATAAGAACTGTAAAAAATGTAGATGTATTTCATTTTAATATGAATGATATTGATACATTATACAATATAGAATCTTCAAGGTTTCATAACATTTGATTTTAATGTACTCTCTTTTGACTGGAAATAGGTAAAATTTTCAGAATTAACCAATTTAAATTTTCCACTTTTCATGAACTTCTTTTTCTACTGACCAGAATTACATTTCTAGATTTACATATACTTATGTCCATATATCAAGTAAGCTATTCTAATAGTTTCCTTCTCGTTTTTGCAGGATTCTGTAAGATTGTTGGCAGTAGAAGCCTGTGTCAGTATTGCTTCACTGTTACAATCAGAAGATGTTGAGAGTTTGGTGATGCCTACATTACGTAATGCTGCCGAAGATAAATCATGGCGTGTTCGCTATATGGTGGCTGATAAATTCACAGATGTAAGTGCACTATCTGTTTATTTTTTTTTCATATCATTACATTTGTATTTCTTATGTTTAGTTGGTACGTGATACAGTTGGAAATCGAAACGAGTAGGCCTAATGCAGCTGTCCAGGCAATATTTCCCTTATTGCACATTAGCCATCACGGTGCAGAAAAGTAGGATGTAAAACTATTTTAATTTTTTGTTTAGACGATAAAGTTTATAAGATGTAGGCCTACAATACCTTTGGTTGAAGAAATTTGAAAGTAGCCTTAAGGGTGTTTGATTTATAATTGGCTGTATGAATTACAGTATGATCAATATGAATGAAAATGCAACTTAAAACATTGCTGAAAAAGCTCTATTCAATTCCTCATAACAATTAAAAGATCATATTACAAGTCGATCATGCGTTATTTCCTTTTATTTCAGTTACAAAAAGCTGTGGGTCCAGAGATTACCAAAAGTGATCTAGTTCAGGCATTTCAGAACTTGTTAAAAGATTGTGAAGCTGAAGTTCGTGCTGCAGCTGCTCATAAAATAAAAGGTAAATGTAAATCTTAAGATTAGGGTTATGGTCTATTTTAGCCTTTGAAATTTGAAAGAATTCTTCTCTGTGAAATGGTGCTTTGTTTGTGTGTGTATATTTTTAGAAAGCTTTAAATGATATGTTTAAAAACTGAAGCAGCTGTCTTGTCCATTATATAATGGTTCCCATGGTATATCCAGTTTTTGACCACTGGTATTTACACCTTATAATTTCATCTTTCATCTTATATATTTCAGATTTTTGTCAGAACTTATCAGCGGATGTACGTGAACATACTATCATGACTGATATTTTACCATGTGTTAAAGATCTAGTTGTAGATGTCAATCAACATGTTAAATCAGCTCTAGCATCAGTTATTATGGGTCTATCACCAATATTGGGTAAAAATAAGTAAGTATAACCTGTACTGAATAGTGTCACTCTGTCATTGGGTTGGTCAACACTATTTGAATAAAATGTTTTCTTGAATTTTTTTTTCATATCCATTGTATTGTCTTCATGGGCCAATGTCCTTGTATATTGGACCTATTTCTGAACCATGTAAAAAAAGAGTTTATTATTATTATGACATCCATAACATACATAGAAACAACTTGGGTTCCTATGATCCTTTACCCTAGCTGGTCCATGGCCATTCCGTAGGTCAACAAAGATTTTTTAAAAGCAATAGTTACTCTACAGGATTCCTCAAACTGAAGTTATATACTTGAAAAAAAAAAAAAGAAACTTTAGGGTAAATTTTTTGAACAGAATGAAATAATAAAATATATATCATTTCTACTTTCAGCACAATTGAACATTTGCTTCCATTATTTTTAATCCAATTAAAAGATGAATGTCCCGAAGTGCGGTTGAACATAATTAGTAATTTGGATTGTGTTAACGAAGTTATTGGTATTAAGCAATTATCACAAAGTTTACTACCAGCTATTGTAGAGTTAGCTGAAGATACCAAATGGAGAGTAAGATTAGCCATTATAGAACATATGCCTCTATTAGCTGGTCAATTGGTAAGTGTGAATTGTGTTTTGATATCCTAAAAGATATAAGATGGTTCTACAACCTTACACCTATCAGTGGTGCATTAGGTTTGGGTGTTTTCTATCTTTTTAAATTGAGATCATGTTGTTAAGATGTCATGTATTTCTGTTATATTTTCTAGGGTAATGAGTTTTTTGATGAAAAACTATGTACACTGTGTATGACATGGTTAGTTGATCATGGTAGGTATTTTTTCTTCTTAAAATAAATCTTACAACTATGAAGAACAGACTGTACTCAGCCCCACAAAACTACGTATGGTGTTTACATGGAAATAACTCACAAGGATCCTAGTTCACAGCCATTTTGAATCACTACCTCACTATAACTAAATAAGTCAATTTTTAAAAAGGCTGTAATATTTCAAGTTAGCCTTCAAATCACATTTAAAGCCATATCAAAACCTTAAAATGGGATTGAAGGCTTAGTTGAAATATTAGAACCTAAATCAAAGTTCAAAGTTCGACTTAAGTCGAGGTAGAGATTCAAAATGGCTGTGAACTCGTTTGTGTGTGTTATTTCCATGTAAAAACCATACATAGTTTAGTGTACATACTGAGCTACATACAAATCTTTCATGTCTAAACTGTAAAGCTTTCATAGTAAAAGTGTACATCCAATCATATTTTGTGGCTTAATGCAATTTTGTTTTTCTTACAGTTTTTGCTATACGAGAAGCTGCTACCTTAAATTTAAAGAAATTGGTAGAAAAATTTGGTGTAGAATGGGCTCAACAAACAGTCATACCCAAAGTTGTCCAAATGTCCCGTGATACTAACTATCTACATAGAATGACTTGTCTTTTCTGTATTAATGTAAGTATTATCAGTATTGATATGGTGGCCTTTGCATAAAGACAATTCTTCACTAGTAGGAAATGTAAAGAGAAACGACCAATGTTATAATGATTGTAAAGTTTTTGATAAACACAGCATAGCAGTGGTTGTCTCTGTAATGTCAACAATTTCATTTAAGTTCAAGAGTGAAGTGTGTTGACATAGTAGCTTATGTGATATGAAATAATAAATGGCATATTCTTATAACCATTGATTTATAACTGTACTACTGGAATACTAGGGTATATATGATATAATCATAAGAGACTCTGAAGTATGTATCTATCTATTATAGTTATTAGCTGAAGCTTGTGGTCCAGATTTAGCAAGTAGAGTAATGATACCAATGATAACTGGTATGGCAGGCGATGCTGTTGCTAATGTTAGATTTAATGTAGCCAAATCTTTACAGAAAATAGGTCCATTACTTGATGCTACGTAAGTATACTTTCTATCTTGATATACTTTCTAGAGTGAGATATAATTATCTATTAGTGACTCAATAAGATGTTGAATCAATTAGAGGAAAAACACTTTGAAAGATCTCAGATAGTTCGGTGCAGAATGTGGTATACAATTCCTTTATTTAATTACAAAGCCCTTATTATACCAATACGTTAACCATTCCTGCTTTCAGTTGGCATAATGTTATGAAAAATTTACTTGATGCTGTCAACTGAACAAGGTTGTTGCTTGGTTGTTGTTAGGGCTATCTCAATAGGTGAAAACATCGTGACAAAATGTATCATGTAAATTGTTTTAAAAAATTTGAGAACTGAATGCATTGCAGAATTCACAGACTTAATAAATAATGTTTTTTTCAGAACAATTGATCAACACATTAAGCCATGTTTAGATAAATTGGCAACAGACCCTGATATTGATGTTAAATTTTTTGCTCTAGAAGCAAAAGACAGTAAGTTTGTTTATATAGAATTGATTAGGGAATCAAGCAAATTGTATGAAGAATTCGTAATGATATTCCTATGGGTTTAATTGTTGCCAGCAATTATCTTATGTGTCAGCACTTTAAGACAGTTTAATAAATTATACATGTTACAACCTTTTCTATGTAGACTACATTCTGGTATTCCAGTTGTTTGATGAGGGGGAATCTTTTGGTAATAGTTAAAAATTTGTTGTCCAATATTTGATTGTAAACATACATGCTGTTAAAACAGTATTGTTATTTTTACTCTCTCTCTCTTTGTCTTTCAGCTTTAAAAATTGCATAAGTTAATTATGAAGTAATAAATAAGTAAGTGAAATCTTATCTTTTAACTTTAATGAATTTCATGACTTAAAGGGACAGGTTCGCCATTCATTTCACCAATTGTACCTTAGTCTCAGAAACAAGAATAGTTATGGGCTATTTTTTAGTTATAGTGTTCACAGCCCACTGTCATGAGCCTTCAAATTTATGTGTTTCTTCTTCTTTTTTTAGACTAAGCCATATTTTGAGGCAATTTTGCAGGAATCACGATTTTCTAGTTCTAAGATGATTTACAAAAAATCAAGACCCAAAATAAGCAGCGAATCTGTTGCTTTGATACATTTTATTATTTCAGATAGCGTATTATAATGATTGTAATTGTATTATTTCAGATAGTGTATTATAATGTATTGTATTATTTCAGATAGTGTATTATAATGTTTTGTATTATTTCAGATGGTGTATTATAATGTATTGTATTTGTATTATTTCAGATGGTGTATTATAATGTATTGTATTTGTATTATTTCAGATGGTGTATTATAATGTATTGTATTTGTATTATTTCAGATGATGTATTATAATGTATTGTATTTGTATTATTTCAGATAGTGTATTATAATGTATTTGTATTATTTCAAATAGTGTATTATAATGTATTGTATTTGTATTATTTTAGATAGTGTATTATAATGTATTGTATTTGTATTATTTCAGATAGTGTACTATAATGTATTGTATTTGTATTATTTCAGATAGTGTATTATAATGTGCCAGCCTGTGAAACTAGTTATATATGTGGTGAACAATGAATTCTAGTTGGAATATCTATTATAATAGGAACTAGATCAAACAATTATTATTTTATTTTTCTCAGACGCTGTATTTGTCAAATATACTTAAAATTACTCTCAATATTGATATCGTTTTATATTGATAGCATTTGACTCGGTCGGCTTACTAGATTTGAAATTTTTAAAGGCTGAGGTTTCTCTAAAATTATTGAGAAATGGAGAATGGAATCACAAATTCTATAAAGTCAAAGTAAAAATTGTTTCAAATTAGCTTCTCCAAATGCTACTGTTGAGGTAATTTTAGAGTAATAATATGACAACTATGTATTGATAGATGACATTATGATGTTTATTTGACCACCTTGCATAGTTCCTTCTCTTTCATCTATATAGTTTACTTTAACTCTCACAAATTCTTTAAGCAATAGCCACAAGAT